CTATGACCTTAGAAAGAGCTCCCCAATTATTTCACAGATTTAGAAAAAATTGACAGGTGCTGGTGGCTCATGCCTGTAACCCTAGCTATTCAGGAGGCTGAGATCTGAGGATCATGGTTCAAAGCCAGCCCGAGCAGGAAAGTCTGTGAGACTTTTATCTCCAATTAACCACCAGAAAACAGGAAGTAGAGCTGAGTCTCAAAGTGGTTAGAACGCTAGCCTTGAGCACAAAAGCTCAGACACAGTGTGCAGGCACTGAGTTCAAGCTAAATAAGTAACCACTACTGGGTTCAAGGACCTCTGGAGAGAACCTAACTGGATTAAATTCCCTTTACCAAGAGAGAATGGCCAGACATTCCTCCTGTTTGAGGACCGCTGAAGTCTTCCTCAGAGGATCATGTGTAAGGAATCTTGCAGCTAATATGCTCCTGAGCAGGTCCAAATATTCCATTCTCCTTCACACTGAATTCTGAAGATCCAGGAGGAAATGGTTTTCCTGGCCCTCAAGTTGCTTTTAAAACTGGTATAAATAGTGAAAATCTAGTTTTTGTTGTTGTTGTTTTTAGTGTCAGGACTGAAAGAGGCAAGAAGCCTTAAGATTTTATCATGTGTTTTTGCTAGGTCTTTTGTGAAACATACGTGTCCCTATGTGCATTGCTTCAGCAGGTGGCAGCACATCACCTGCTTTTAAAGATACACTCCTAGGAGTATGCACACCGAGAAGCTTCTGCTGGAAATAGAATGGGGGCATTGGTAGTATAAAGGTCAATGTTGATGTGGCTGTGACGAACCATGAATAGATTCAAAGTCATGTGGAACAAAAGTTGTGGGAGAGGTAAAATGCAGGTGCTGAACAGGTCAAGGTCCTTAAGAGGCTGACAGAAGTTAGGCAGGGAAGATCACACCTGTAATCGCAGCTACTAGGGAGGTTGAGATCTAAGGACTGAGGTTCAGAGCCAGGCTGGACAGAAAAGTGTGTGACACTTTTGTTTCCAATTAATCAGCAAGAATACAGAAGTGGAGTTGTGGCTCAAGTGGTAGAGCACCAGCCTTGAGTAAAAAAGCCAAGTAAGAGTGTGAGGCCCTGAGTTCAATCCCAGTACTGGCACCAAGAGACTGGCATGTGTGAATCCACGCTTGGGTACTGAAGTCACCTTGGATGATGACAGCGAACAAACCTAAGTCCCCAGTAAACATAGATTCCTGCCCAGTAGGTGAGACTCTGTCATAGTAAGAGGGCAGAGGAGCTGGATGGGAAGCACTTGCATGCAGGAAGGAGTTGCTGCACAGGAATGGGTGTGCAGTGATGGAAGCGGGCCTGGGGGAGAATACCTGCAGCTCCTTCCAGCTGCTGTGCACTGTGGGAGGGCTGCGAAGGAAGTGCTGGGCTGTGGCTGGCACAGAACATGGACAGGTCTATTTTAGGGGCAGCAGGCCATGAGAGAAGATGACCTTTGCACAGACCTGCAAAAACTAGATGCTCCAAGGAACTTAAAAATTATCTTTAGCCAGATGCTGGTGGCTCATGCCTGTAATCCCAGATCCTCAGAGGCTGAAGTCTGAGGATTGCAATTCAAAGCGAGATCAGGCAGAAAAGTCCTTGATACGCTTATCGCCAATTAACCACCAAAGAAGCCTGAAGTGGAGCTGTGGCTCAAGTGGTACAGTGACACAGCCTTCAACAAAAGAGGCCTAGGGACAGTGCGCAAGTCCAAGCCCCAGGACCAGCACAAAAAGAAAAAAAAAATCTTTAATTTTCTGCCAGCATTATTAGACCAGGGTGCCAGAGAATCACAAAAGACAAATGTACTGACTAGATAGTCTTTAATGTGATCAGGTCTTAAATATGCCATGAACATAAACATGGAAAACCAAACATACAATAAATAATCATTAAATTATAATGTACATGGTTTATATTAAAACTAAATCCTCAGATGCAAATGTAAATACAGTGGTAGAACAATAACGTAGAGTAATAATGCTATAATTTTATACAAGTGCCCCAAAATGACACTTTCAGTTGAAATAGCAATTATCTAAAAACTCCCATACTCCCATTACTTACAGCAATTTTTGTCTCCTTCCTTCCTTTCTTTCTTCTTTCTGTCTTTCTTTCCTTAATTTCTTCCCCTGTCTCAGAACATTTTCTTTATCCTTCAGTAAGTGTTGCTACAAATACTACTGAAATAATATTAAGCAACTGAACATCAGACTCAGAACAAAGTTTTACTCAGAAGTGTGGTCAGATGTTCCCAGAAGAGTACCCAGCAGTTAACAGATTCACAGCCATACAAGGTTCTAAAAAATGCAGAATTGACTTTAGAGATTAAAATATTCAGCACCCTTGTTGTACAAATAAGAAAATAAAAGCCCCCAGAAGTTTAAGCTAGTGAACACAGTTTTACATCCAACAGTATTTCAGATCGCCCATCTCACCGCCCACAGGTAAACAGTGATAGTTATGGGTTTCCTCATGTCACTTTCTTTTACATTTTTATTTTATCTGTAAGTAGTTTCACCAAGGAATCACTATCAACAAGATAATATATGAATACACTATCCCCCTTAAGAACTAGCTAAGTCATGAACAGAGAAGTGGGGATGGGAGCTATTCAAGTCTCATTCAGCTGGTTGATGTAAAGCATTCTTGGGTGGTGGTGGGATCCTTAATGGATGTTTTAACTATTGGGCTTGTAGCCAATGTCCCCAATAAATTATTTTTACTTTTCAGAAAAGTAGAGACAGTAGACTGGTCAAAAGATTAAAAAGATTTCTAACCAACACACCAACATAAATACATTATCTTAACTATCAGATCATCATGTCAAGAAGTCGACAGGTAGAAAGCCAGAAACAAATATGAAGAGACTCTGTCTTTATGATGTCTAAAGCACTGTGCCGTCATGCTTCTTTGCAACATTTTCAGCATCTGGGCCGGCACCATGTGACATGTCGGCAGGATCACATGCATGTTGGCATCAGTAGGCACATGGCAGCATTATTCCATTGTAATTACACATTTAAGATTTTTTAAACAAAAACACCGTGCTCCTGAGATTCATTGAGGTTTAATTAAATAATATATCTTCACTACACCTTTTAGAGCTATAAATTAAGTCTGAATTTGTTTTTGAACCACTTTTAAGTAGACAGGTCTTCTTTGCAGAGCATAACACATTTTCCATCCCATAGCCTCTTACACACTCAGATCCATTTTAACACTAAGAAACAGTGAAATAGCTTATACCAGTTGAGAAAACGTTTACTACAGTTTTAGTTTCTTATCTGGAATTGACATGAAGTGGCAGAGCACTGTTTTTACCAACCATGATTGAAAGTCTGCAGTGTTTAAACAAAAATCTGCTCTAAGCTGGGCCAGGACACTTCCTGGCCTCTCAATTTGCCTTCTAACTTTGATTTTATATAGTTGATTAAATTTGTTTATGGACAGCATGCACAACAAGTGATTAAAATACAAACAGGGCTTGGAATGTCTTCATCATGGTAATTCTGTTTTAAGAAAAAGAAAAGGGCCAGGCTCTGTAATCCTAGATACTCAGGTAGCTGAGATATGAGGATCATGGTTCAAAGTCAGCCTAGGCAGGAAAGTTCATGAGACTCTTACCTCCAATTAACCACCAGAAAACTAGAAGTGGCTCTATGGCTTAAAGTGGTAGAGCACAAGCCTGTAGCCAAAATGCCCAGTTCCTAAGTTCAAGCCCCATGACCGACAAAAAATGAAAGAAAGGAAGGAAGTCAGGCACTAGTGGCTCATCCCTATAATCCCAGCTGAGTAGGTAGGATCATGATTGGAATTCGGCCCAGGAAAGAAAGTCCATGAGACTATTATCTACAATTAACTACTAAAACTAGCCAAAAGTGGAATTGTGGGTCAAGTGGTAAAGTGCTAGCCTTGAGCTCAAAAGCACAGAGACAGTGGTCAGGCCCTGAGTTCATGCCCAAGAACAGGCACAAGAAAGAAAAAAAGAGGAAGGAAGGAAGGAAGGAAAGAAAGAAGGAAGGAAGAAGGGAGGGAGGGAGGGAGGGAGGGAGGGAAGGAAGGGAAGGGAAAGGGAAAGAAAAAGAAAGAGAGGAAGGAAGGAAGGAAAGAAAGAAAGAAAGAGATGCTATGCTCATAATATGCCCCTAACAATTTAAGAAGGCAGCCAAATATTTTTAATCTCTATTTTAAGCTTAGGAGACTCCCTAGTATGTCCCTCTATAGTTTTAAGTTACCATTTTTACCAGCTTAAAATGTTAGCTTATGAAGGGACATGAGGTTGAGCAGAGGTAATATTAAATCCACATTCCTAGACTACTTTAATGACCAACAAAGACAGTCTATTCTGTAAATAAGTTCATGTATATTGAATTTAAATATTTTGATAAACCTAATAGAAAAGACCTTTTTTTAGTAATCTGATGAAGCTATCCCCCTAGAACATAAATAAGTTACATATTTAGATGTTAGACATTCTGGGATTAAAAAGTAGATTCTTCAGATGAAAGCTTGTAAATACTCAGTTTTCATTTTCTTGCAAAAATAAAGATTGCAATTTTTCATTGTGATCTGCTGCTTCCATATTTTCAGCTTGAATGAAGGTATGCACCTTTTAAGTTAAGATCCTAATAGACTTATCGAAGACCAAGGGATCCTAATAGACTTATCGAAGACCAAGGCTAACATAAAAATCAATAAATTCCCACACAGGATTTTTGCTTAAATTTTTTTAGCCTTAAGCATGGCACCGATGGTATACTCCTGTAATCCTAGCTACTCAAGAGGCTGAGATCTGAAGATCACAGTTCAAAGCCAGGCCAGGCAAGAAAATCCATGAGACTCTAACCTCCGATGAATCAGTAAGTGGAGATGTGGATCAAGTGGGAGAGCACTAAACTGAACACAAAGCTCAGGGACCGGTGCTCAAGCCCTGAATTCAATCCCCAGGACTTGCACCCCGCCCCCCAAAAATATATATACTTCTCATACAATCAAAAATGGTCCATAACAAGAATTCAGACTCCAGCTGATTAGAAAGTTTTTCCAAAATGACCAAACAGCATAAAGTAAAGTACCATATCATAATTGGAGAGAGAATCCTAACTTTGCATACTTTCTGCATACATTGGACTTCTCTGCTTGGAATAGGAGAGGTGAGTTTCAGGCTGTGTTAGAGTCTGTAGTATAGTGTCCAACTGCAGTGAAATCCCCAACCATCCTCACGCCCCAGGGCTCCCGGACAGACGCTGGTGAATCATCTGCAGAAAGAGCACACTGTGAGCAAACTCAACACAGAAGCAACCCAGACAAAGAGGAAATAGGAAAGCAAGCATAACGTAAGATAGTTACCTTTTGGAGAAGAGATTTCAGTCTTTCGAGGAATTCTTTGAGGGGTTTTTTCTCATAAGAATCACATGAAGGACATATCTAGAAATCAATGAAGAGATAACATTCTTTTTTTAAAAAAATCCCTAGTGCATAAAATGTTCATTTAAATTTTACTTTTCCAACTAAAGACATAAATCACATTCACCGAAAAACATTTGGAAAAGTACATAAAGTCATTCTGGAAGTAATGTTGCAAATTGCTTGCGATCACGCTGCAGTAGGGCATCACTGCAGTGTTTTAATGCAGATACTACCATTGGCATTTTTTTTTCTTTCTTTAAAAAAAAAAATTTGTGCCTGTCGTGGACTTGAACTTGGGGCCTGGGCGCCATCCCCGAGCTGCTTTTGCTCAAGGCTAGCACTCTACCACTTGAGCCACAGCGCCATTGCCAACTTTTTTAGTAGTTAATTGGACACAAGAGTCTCATGAACTTTCCTGCTCGGATTAGCTGCAAACCCTCATCCTCAGATCTCAGCCTCCTGAGTAGTTAGGATTACAGGTGTGAGCCACAAGCACCCAGCTTTAGTCTTTCCTTTTTTGCATTTTTCATATCACAAGCATTTCCTAAGTGAGAGATATTCTTTCAGCTACTCAGTAGGCAGACTTTGGGAGGATGGTACTTAGAGACAGGCCAGGCAACATCACTGAGAATCCTCCCATTGCAACAAATAAGCCACCTGTGGTAGATCCCACTGATCCCACTGTAATCCTAGCTGCATGTTCCAAGGTGAGCCCTAGAAGCTATATGAAAAATAACTAGAGCCAGAAGTACTACAGGGTGTGAGCCAAGATGTATAGAGTGCATGCCTAGCAAGCATGAGGCTGTGAGTTCAAACCCCAGTCTAGTAAGCATGAGGCCCTGAGTTCAATCCCATATATACATATATATGTATGTATGAGTATGTATATACACACATATTGGGGTACTAATGTATATATTAATATATAGTGAAATGTTATATATTAATACACATGTATATATGTATATACAACATATATATATATATATATATATATATATATATATGTACACACACAAACTTTCCAGTCAAGTAGTGGAGCCTACATGCTTAAATTCAAATATTGACTCTGCTGTTGACTCTTGTAGGCTTATTCCTTGTTAGCAAACTTAAGATCTAGCTCCTATTAATAAGAATGCAAGTATAGCTAATGAGAGGAAAATATTCCTGGATTTTGCTTTTGTGCTGGTACTAGGGCTTAAACTCATGTAGACAGTTGGTTTTTTGCTCAAAGCTGCTGGTGCTCTACTACTTGAGTCCTGCCTTACTTCAGGAAAATACTTCTTAACTCATAATTGGATTCTCTTCCTAATGAGTTCTTCCCCTTGAGAACTAGCATTATTGTATGTTAGCTGCTACGGACTATTAACAAATTCTTATTGAGTTACTGAGCAGTTACTTGAAAGTCTCAAGTTTGCGGATAGAGAGAGGTGACTCCATTTCTCAAAATGTGCTTGGTATGATTAAGTATGGCAGGTATAACTAACTGTTCAGGAAGAGACCAGGCACTCTGTACGTGTATGTGTGTGTGTGTGTGTGTGTGTGTGTGTGTGTGTACAATGATACATATATTCCATTATAATAAATAAATACAAAATAGATGATACATAATGGTTCAATACAAATAAGCTAGATGACAAATGACAATCTTACAAGTTTTTGTTTCTCTCTTTGCCCTGCTTTTGTCGGAGGTAGTTTCCTCTTCAGCTGTTTGATGAATCCTTGGATTATCTTCCCATTTTCTCCTTTATCTGCTGCCTTAAGTTTGGCCTTCTGAAAACATGAGAAAGCTGACTGCTCACAGTGTCCCTGAAAGAGAAATCATCAGTATCCATGTTCATGGAAGTTCTTCAGAAGGTTGAAAATGAAGTATGGTGTCTTGGATCACGCGGATCACCTAAATTTCAACAGATGAGTTTATCTTTGACAATAAAAGATGAGAGTTCCTGTATGTCAGTCAATCTTCCCTTGACTTAGGGAAAATGGGACCTTTCCCTGCTCCTCAGAGAGGAGAAAAAAAGCAACCTTTTTCTTCCTAAGTCTGTATCATTTTGAGATTTGAGTAGAGGCATGGTCTTCACAGAGATTTTTGTTGTTGTTTTTGTTTGGTACTGGGGATCAGACCTAGGGTCTCATCTCTACTAGCCTAGCACTGTCCTGAGCCACATTCCCAACCTGACTTTTGTGCTTCCTAAGAGAGACTTAATTTGGTTAAAGAACACATTTGCTGAATTATGAAGTTGTACTATGGCTGGTGGCACCATTGGGTAAGCTATGTTGTAGCATGATTAAGACTCTTTTTCAGGAAGTGGAGGTGTAGTTTAAATGATAGCACACCATCCCTGAATGGAAAAAAACAAGAGTGCAAGAGCCTGAGTTCAAGGCCCCGTACTGACTGATACACACACAAAGACTAAGAATTTTTTTCAGATTGATTTTACTACAGCGTAAACATACGTGGAGATATAAAAATGAAATTCTTCCCCCTGTAGTACTAATATCAGCTAATGCTTATAAGAAAGAATCTTTTTCATTAACCGCTGGTTCTGTCATGTACATAAGTCATACAGCCCCAAACATACTGTCATATGATTAGCAAGTGCTAAATACATATTTACAAAATCAAAAGATGAGATAAATGAGATAAATTCCCTCATTTGGGGAAAGGAAATGGTACCTGCCTCTAGAAAATGTCATTTTCTAAGATTTAATGCATTTTCTTTGAGCTATGCATGACTTCTGTAAAATCCTATACATATGTTCAGGTTAGTTAGGGTAGGGTTCTATAGGAATCAAACAGTCAAAGAATGTAATGTGGGATTTATCCAACCAAATTGGAGTGCATTCCTGTTGGCAAGAATAGTGTCTCAGGGCATGGAGAAGTGGAGAGAACATGGATCCAACACTTCAATCCTTGTTTGACCAACTACTGACTAAAGAATAAGCCAAAACCACCAGGCACTAGTGACACATGCCTGTAATCCTAACTACTCAGGATGATGCTGCCTGACGATCAAAGTTCAAAGCCAGCCTAGGCAGTAAAGTCCATGAGACTTTTTTTTTTGTCGGTCGTAGGGCTTGAACTCTGGGCCTGAGCGCTGTCCCTCAGCTCTTCAGCTCAAGGCTAGCACTCTACCACTTGAGCTACAGTGCCACTTCCGGTTTTCTAGTGGTTTATTGGAGATAAGAATCTCATGGACTTTCCTTCCCGGGCTGGCTTTGAACCGTGATCCTCAGATCTCAGCCTCCTGAGTAGCTAGGATTACAGGCGTGAGCCACCAGTGCCCTGCTCCATGAGACTCTTATCTCCAGCTAAATCCACCAAAAGCCACAAGTTCAAGTGGTAGAGTGCCAGCCTTGTGAGAAAAAGCTAAGATATTATATATAGAGTACATTAATATATATATATATATAATAACCTCAGTACTGGTGAAATATTATATGTAGATTGTCTTAGTACTGGGACAATATGTGTGTTGTATATATGTATACATATATGTGTTTACATGTAGGTATATATACTTATACTGTGTATATAAACATATATAAACATATATATAAACATGTGTACATGTGATGCCCTCCCAAGTCCCCCAAAAGTTGCCACACCTTCATTTCACTGAAGCTTCTATGTGATAACTGCCACTCACAATGCCACCCAGGAAAAGCAAGGGCAGTGCTGTATAGAACAATATGCCTGAGTCTCATCCTGGGTGGTGAGCTGAAAATAGCATCTAGCCTGCTTTGCATTTTCCAACCCCTGCGCTTACCTAATCTCAATGCCGATTAATAACTTGCATCCTTAAGACACAAACCCATCTGATTTGCTTTGCATATCAGACCACAAACTGAGAGCCGTGTGTCTGATTTCCCTATCTTGGGGCAGCCTGCTGTTCAAAAAGGCAAAGTGGTGTCCTTTCCATGTTTGCCAAAATGCTTATTTAATAGAAACTATTTATGAGTGTTAATTATAGCACATTTTTTTCCTTGAAAACCACATGTTCATGTTTGTTGAATTTTTTTTCTTTTCTCTTCTTTTTGACCACAACCGTCTTAACTTACTGGAAAAAAAATAATATTCAGATTTAAAGAGGTAAATTTTCCAGCTGAAACTGAAAACACATAACTGCTTCATCTGCGATGGTCTGAGAAACCAGCATTTCTCACAGAGGCCCCTTTTGCTGACTTCACATTTTCATGTGTATGTTGAAAGAAAATTAAGTTCCAGAGAAATGATGAACTCCCTGAGCCAATAATGCCAGGAATGCTGGCATTCACCCTGAGGGCCTGGCCATCCTCCCTACCTTCCCTGTCCTCCTGTGCTAGTTAATGGACAAGGATGTTTCGTTTTCCCACAAGGCCTACAGACCTGTACCTGGCAGTGCAGGCCAGGACTCATTACTGATGGATTTGATGTTAGATAGACATCAGAGGTGGCCTCCAAGGGGAATAGAAGCAGAAGAGCTGTCCCTACTAACTGCCCAGATGATGTGTGGAAGAGAATAGAAGGATTCGTCTTCATTCAAGCAGCTTCCAATGCTCTGCTACCCCAGAGGTTTACAAGATAGGATGGCCCATGTCTCTGTGTAGTGCCGAGAGCATGACCACCACTTTCCTTTGCAGAGTCTTGGTAGCAGTGAATGCCAAAAGCAAGCCTTTGTCTCCTTCATCTTTGAACACCTGAGGATATGAGGAGGTGAGCTCTTTGCTAGTTTAGTAGGCTAGACGGAGCAGTAAGGAAGTCACATCAAGGATGAAAAAAAAAACTACTCTTTAGCTAGAGAGTGCATCAGATGCTGCTTTTTGAAAACACACACATGGCCAGGCACCGGTGGCTCATGCCTGTAATCCTAGCTACTCAGGAGGCTGAGATCTGAGGATCACGGTTCAAAGCCAGCCCGGGCAGGAAAGTCCGTGAGACTCTTATCTCCAATAAACCACTGGAAAACCGAGAGCAGCACTGTGGCTCAAGCGGTAGAGCATTTGCCTTGAGCTGAAGAGCTCAGGGACAACACTCAAGCCCAGACCAACCAAAAAAAGAAAGAAAGAAAGAAAGAAAGAAAGAAAGAAAGAAAGAAAGAAAGAAAGAAAGAAAGAAAGAAAGAAAGAAAGAAAGAAAGAAAGAAAGAAAGAAAGGAAGAAAGAAAGAAAGAAAAGAAAAGAAAAAACAAACTCGTGGCTTTGTTTTGCATTGAATACTTGAAATATGTATCTCCTTAAAAAAAAAAAAAACCAAAGTCATTAGACACTGTTGAAAATGAGCTATACATTTGTGGGTGGAGATGGGAGGGAAAATCTAGGAGAAAGGTACTCTTTACCTGACTTATGAAACTGTAACCCCTCTGTACTTCACCTTTATAATAACAATAAAAATTTAATCTATTTTTAGCCAGGTGGCAGTTACTCCCACCTGTAATCCTAGCTACTCAGGACGCTGAGATCTGAGGATCACAATTCAAAGTCAGCCTGGACAGGAAAGTCTGTGAGACACTTAGCACTAATGAATTGTCAAAAAGCAGGAAATGGAGCTGTGAATCAAGTGGTAGAGTACCCTACCTCTGAGTTTAAACTCCAATACTGGCACACGCCATGCGTGCATGCACACACACACACACACACACACACACTCAAGTTTTTCTTTCACAAAGGAAGCCATGGCCATTCACGGTATGATATCTAATTAACTGGACTCCATTACCTTTGTCCCTATTTGCCCTCTAGCATACACTGGGTTTTAATCAGGGTTTTCTAGTACAGCATTGCTGAAATAGTGACTACATAGTTCTTTGTTGTCAGACCTGTCCTGGACATTCTAGAAGGTTTAGTAACATCCCAGGCCTCTACCTACCAGATGCCAGTACTCTCACCTACCCCAAATTTGCCAACAAAAAATTTCTCTAGACAATGTCAAATGTCAAATGTTCTCTGGTATGGGATACAGTCACCACCCCCACCTAAGAAACAATAGTTTTGTTGTGGTGGTAGATGAAGGAGGTGAGAATGCATGAGAGAAAGGAAAAGAGAGAAAGGAAGAGAAGGAAAGCCAGGGGAAAGATAGAAGAAGAAAGAGAGAGGAGGAGGAGAGGGGGGAAGAAGATGAGGGAGGGAGGGGAGGAGGAAAAAATTAGAAAAGGCCTAGAGAAACCAACTAAAGCTCCTATAAAAATCCAACCTTTAAATAATTTTATTTTTATTAACTTTTCAATCTTTTAAAATCTGTTACAGATCCTCCTTAGATGTTAGCCCTAAAAAAGTGAGATAATGAAATTAACTGAAAATTTAAATGAAAAAGTGTAATTTGTTTACATTTCTGCTATGCAACCTCTGCTATTTTTTTTCCTTCTTGAGTTTGCCTGTCAGTGCAGCTCAAAGATCTTAGCTACACCTAGGGAGGGTAAAAGGGGAATCACAGAAATGGAGAGACAAGCCGGGCACAGGTGACTCATGCATGCAGTCCTAGCTACTCAGGTGGCTGAGATCTGAAGATCACAGTTCAAAGCCAGCTGGGACAGGAACATCTGTGAGACTCTTATCTCCAATTAGCCATCAGAAAACCAGAAGTAACGCTGTGGCTCAAGTGGTAGAGCACTTGTCTTAAGCTGAAGAGCTCAGGGACAGTGCCCAGGCCCAGAGTTCAAGCCCCACAACCGACAAAAAAGAAAAGGAAGGAAGGAAGGAAGGAAGGAAGGAAGGAAGGAAGGAAGGAATGCAGGGACAAAGGGTGAACAAATGCAGCAGTGATACTCACTAAACACTATGTAGAAAATGAAGTATACAATTTGGTATACAATTTGGAGACAGGAGGGAAAAACTGGGAGAGACCAACAAGAGAAGGGGTAACATTGTCCAAAAAGAAATGTGTTATTTACCTGCCTTCCATAAGTGTAGCCCCTCTGTACATCACATTTATATTAACAATAAAAAATGGTAAGAAAACCTACAGAAAAAAAGATCTTCACTACAGTACTATAGCACTGCTTAGCTATGCATGGAAATATCACAGTGAGTTCCACTCATTTTGCAGTTCATGTGGCTAGCAGTAACAGTGAAAAAGATAAAAATCAAATAGCTATCAGAAAGTTTAAACTGTGAAACAAAATTCTTTCATTGACAAAGCATATGAAGAAGTAATCCAGTGGACCAACATTCATTAGAAAGTGGGGTATTTTCTTATTTCTTACTTTGCAAACTGTAGACAGGCAGTAGCTAGGAAGCCCTAATTATAGTCATGAAACAACGTGCTTGAGATGCTGGAAAATCTATGTTTTGATAACTAAACACATTAAGAAATATTCTCAGTTATTGGAAAAGTCCTTTCAATAAGTTAAATGTTCTACTTTCATTTTGGATGCTGCTTATTAGAAAAAACCTAGTAAATATGAGTGATTGTGTTCAGAGCTGGAGAGTAAATTTTAGAGTAAAGCAATAGTTGTGACTCATTCACTTTCTAAACTTTGACATCGAGTCATTTACCATAATTGTTTTCTTTGCAAACTATCTTCCTGAGTCTCACCCTTTGTGGCACCCTAATTACTGGTAGCACTTTCATAGTTATCCTAAATTATGCAATTAAAAGTCTGTAACAGTCAGAACAATTGCATTTCTACTCACAAGGTCCCAGATCAGAATGAAGAAGTTACTGAAGGAAAAAGATCGGCAGGCACAACTCCTGAGATCTACTCTATGCCAATCCTCCTCAATTTAGAACTTGGATTTAAATGGCTACAGAGATGGGGTTAGCTATTGAAAATGATCTTTTCAAAAACTTCACTGAAGCACCAAAACAACCGGACTCACGGAGGCGAGGTAGATGTCAATGATACTCAAAAGGGGGCTTTGATTTCTACACTCCTGTTGCTCTACTCTGTATTTATAATTAATTCATTCAAAGTGGTGGTGGTGATTGTTTATTATTTCAAAGTCAATTCTGCCTTTAATGCATGCATCTTTTCTTGCTAAATAAGATTACAAGGGAAGTTTCATGCTGTTCAATGATTCTTAAAAGATCTTTCTTTAAAAACTGATTATAGCACAAGTGTCTTATTTGTGTTCATTATTCTGTCTTCACATGCTACTTAAGAGTATACTTAGAACTCTCTGAAGATAAATACGTTATAAAGAATGTAATCTAGCATTTTATTGGTTGGTTGGTAAATCTATAAATATTTGACCAAAATAGAAGTAAATCTCTTACCAATTAAGTCTCCCCCAAAATTCACTGAAGTTAAGTGTATTCCTTAGTAATCATCTCATTAGACTTAAAATAAGTTAGACTTACAAGTGTATTCCTAAATATCCATCTTCTTAGACTTACAAATTTACATCAGATATGTTTTGAGAATTCAAGTCAACAAGTCTTACCTTTACATCTTGTGGAGCTGGCAGGAATTCAGAGTCCTAGAGCAAAAGAAAGTTCCAAGTTATATTTAGAAGCCCCAAAGTCACTTTTTCTATGAATTGAAAAATTAGATTTACATTCTGTTGTGACAAATGTGGTCTTACCAAGTCATTCACATAGTTTTTCAGCTGGTCAACAATGTCTATAAGTTGATTCATTCTGATCATGAGGCGGTCAGGCCTTGGGGAACTTGGCTTATGGGCCCCTGTTCCCAAGAAAATGACCATGAGACAGATAACTGTCCTCTCCATGTTGAGTCTGCTCAGTACCAGTAGAGCGGGGCCTTGTTTCACTGTACAGGTTGTCACTATTTATTCATCCTTCAAGGAGAGGTAAAGCCCTCCCATTGCAGCCTGGAAATGTTTGTAAAATGGATGAATGTGAGTAACTCTTTTTTTCTTTTCCACTGGCTTAGGTGTGCGTGTGCTTGTGCTGCTGCGTGGGGGCAGGGATTAATGGAGTCTACGAAATGGGCTGCATCTGAGACAGGAAAAAGAGACACATGGGTGAATTCCAATTTTCAGCATGAGGCAAGAAGTGCATGTAGTAAATAGTTGGTGTTCTAAGACTTCAAAGGAATAAACACCAACACTTTGATCCCTGGCACCTTACCTGTTCCCTCCACAGTCATACGGGCACTGCAGTAATGAGTAACATGGCACTATGTGCCTTCATACAGGACTTTTTCTTGTGGTAATGACTGTCTTTTGATGGGGATCATTTGTATTCCTTCATAAAGATAAGCAGAATGCAGCCTTCATAGTCTGTGTGTATGTGTGTGTGTGTGTGTGTGTGTGTGTGTGTGTGTGTGTGTGTGTGTGTGTGTATGTGAAAATGGAACCAGATTAATTGAGGAGATGGGTGGGATTGGGAGAGATGGAGGGGGGGATGATGGAAGGGGTGACATTGATCAAGATATATTATGCACATAAACTGATATTCTAGAATGTTTTAAGGACAATAGAAATTAAGTTTATAGGGGCTGGGAAGGTGGCTCAGTGGTAGAGCGCTTGCCTTGCATGCATGAGGCCCTGGGTTCGATTCCTCAGCACCACATAAGCAAAAAGAAAAAAGCTGGAAGTGGCGCTGTGGCTCAAGTGGTAGAGCGCTAGCCTTGAGCTGAAGAGCTGAGGGACAGCGCCCAGGCCCAGAGTTCAGACCCCACGACCGGACCACCCCCCCCCCAAAAAAAGAAATTAAGTTTATATTTTATTTGCTGTCAAGCTTGATTGTAGCTGTTTCTATCATAGAATATCTATTCAAGATAAAGATAATTTTAAAAATTTAAGATAGGAGGGGTTAACTTTTAAGAAATTTGTAAACAGAGACAATATCCTAGCTAGCAAAAATATTTTAGGTTCTTAGCAAGTTTTGAGAGTTTAAAATTAGTATTTGCTTCCAGAATTCATTTACCTTTACCAAAGCATCTTTCAATATTATAAATGTTATCTTCTGACATTTTACCTAATAGAATGACTTATAAATGCCACAAATGATTCTAAGGAACCTTATAGAAAAGTTATTCCTTCATCAAGATCTTACTCTTCTTTAATTAAAATAAACATACAAACTCTCTAATGGTCATCCTTTCTATTTTCTACATCTATTACACAAATGAGAAGTCCAAATTTAAAAAGCACATCTTACACACCAATATCAAAAGTACTTATAAATGATTACTTTTACCTTAGGATAGTGCTAGCTATTTCTGTTAGGTTTTATTTCCTCTGGGTTGTGAGCAAGACATTTCTGCCTGCACTCATGACTAAGGACAGGTTAATAAGATGTAAAGCTCAGAATTAGTCTTTCCATGCACTCTTCTGCTGGTTCCTATGGTTGACTACCCATTTGAGGAAGTTGAGAATGATATTATAACCCAAAAGACTCCTGAACTGGAACTCTTGACTACAGATTTTATTTACTTATGTATTTTGTTCATATGTCTTGTTATATTAGAATTTCATGTGTTTTCTGTGGCTTGAACTTAGGCTCTTACTTGGCTTTCTGGCTCCAGGCTAGTACTCTACCATTTGAGCCACACTCCCACTTCTGGTTTTCTGCTGTTTAATTAGAGATATAAATCTCAACTTCTCTGCCTGGTTGGCTTTGAACCTTGGTTTTAGCCTCCTAAGTAGCTAGGATTATAGATGCAAGGCACCAGGCACCTGGCTTTATTCTAGGATGTTTGGAAGCTAAAAGAGGTTGGAATTTGAATTTGATTTGCTCTGAAAGTTGATTGTAGTCGTTTTTAGTCTTAGAATATCTAGTCAAGGTTTGACCTTATGTTCTACATGAGAACTCTTACAATATGATCAGTAAGTCTTCCCTGTCATTACTACAATCTGTAGGGCAAGGTTCTCCATAAAGTTACTGATTGATATGACTGAGGATATAGAGCCTCGACATTGCCTGTGTGGCTTTTGTCTGTTTTCCTTATCTACCTAAATAAATGTCCACCTGCTTGAAGACACTAACCATGGTGGTTAAGGGTTCAATTTTTGAGCAAAGTATTCAGGGTAAAATCTAGAATCTAAGAATGAAGAGCACATGTCACACTGGGTATATTATTGCAAAGGGAGGAGAAAATGCAGTAGAGTTGTAATGGGGCTTAAAGGACACATTGCAAAGACTAAGCACAGGCAAAATCATAAAATCCCAGGATCCCACTGAGTTTGCATGCTGAGTGTGACACGTATGAAGTGCCTTGCTCCAGAGTTACCATGAAAGAGATATTTAAGAGTCTGAATTCCTGCCCTAAGTGGCATATCAGTTGTAAACTTGTTTTGAATATCACTGCTAGACTAGGAGATTGAATACTGCCCACACCCTGTGCTCACATCTGAATGCTGTGAATAGTGAATGCAGTAGTTTTACATGAAACAAAAGGGATTTACAGATGTGATTAAAATAAGATGGTTGAATAAGAAATTATTCTGTCAGACCATTTACTGAAAGGGCTGTCTTTCTTTCATTCTATTTTTTTTAGCTCCCTTATCGAAGATTAGATGGCTATAGGTCTTTGACATTGCCCCATTTGTTAGGAAATGGAAAGACTTGGAAAAAATTATATTAAGTGACGTAAGCAGGCCCAAAGAAACATAGGTCCCATGGTTTCCCTTATTTGCAATAACTAGTATATGTCAAGCAGAAAAGGTCAGATAAGTTAATGTTAGGGGAATGAACCCCAAGATAAGTATTCAAATTTTTTTTCTTTCATGCAATTGTTTCCAACATATTTATAAGATGATTTCTATGTTTCTTTGTATGTCCCTCCCCCATGGTATAAGCCCTGCTTTCACTGTATTTGATGTTGGTATAATTTGTGGAGGGGAATGGAAAAAACAAATCATTTAACTAGGGATACAGGTGGACCCATTGCAACAATGAGATGTACAAGTCGTTATGTTGAAAAACGAGCTTTACAACTTTGGTGGGGGGTGGGGGGAAGGTTGGGTGGGGGGACGTGGGGGGAGTATTGGAAGGGATGGGAAGGGGAAACAAAGAGGAGGCAACAATGCTTGATAAGAAATGAACTCATTATCTTGCCCATGTAATTGTAACTCCTCTGTACCGTATTTTCGCAATAAATTTTTTTTTAAAAAAAGAGAAATTATTCTGGAGTGTGCAGTGGATCCTTGGCAATGTATAATCCATGGTTTTCCATACTCCATGCACTGGGGAGAAGAGAGCAAGAAGTAGAAATAACAAAAGCAAAGATTGGAAAGATACAGAGTGCAGGAATGCAAGTGCATTCTAGAACATTCTTCCCTAAAGCCTTCAGAAGACAAGCAACCTTGGCTGTTGCCACATAAAACTCATTTTGAACTTTTTTTAAAAAAAAATGTGTTGGTACTGGGGCTTGAACTCAGAACCTAGCCTCTGTCCTTTAGCTTTTTCACTTAAGGCTGGTACTCTATTACTTGAGACACAGCTCCACTTCTGGCCTTTTTTGCAGTGAATTAGAGTTAAAAATCTTACAGACTTTCTTGCCCAGGCTGGCTTTGAACAGTGATCCTCAGCTCTCAGCCTCCTGATTAGCTAGGATTTACAGGTGTAAGCTACTAGCAATTGACTCACTTTAGACTTCTGGCCTTCCAAACACCAAGTGATGCATTTGGCTTATTTAAAGTCAACTAAGTTATGTGGTCATTGGTTACAGGAGAAATAGGAAAGTGAACCATGGGGGTGTAGGGGCTTTTTTCCTCTTTCTTACAAAGAGGTGGAGAAGGGGAAAGGAGAGGCTGGGCGATAAAGCAACAGATAAGGCTGGAATCTTGTTGAGCTTTTGGAGGTTTGGGGTCTGGAGGTTGAGTGAGTGAGTGAAAGACAGGGAGCTGGGACAAGCGTGTTGCAGCATGGTAGCTATAGGACTTTGGAATAGATCTATGACTCCTAGACATGGGAATCCTTCAGCCGTGACTGACAGTACATTTCAGTATTCTCTGTCATTCAAACTGAGCAAATTAATCAAGGGGTAAACACTAGCTTTGTGAGCAAGCAAGAGCACAAAGCCCTGAGTTCAAGACCCAATATCAGCATTAAAAAAAAGAAAGAAAGAAAGAAAAAAGACTCATGTACCCTATAACCCTATGGCTGTCTTTACAGCATTATGGATGCCTTTCACTCTCATTTCAATCACTGTTATAATCTGGCTGCTGTCAGCTGTATCATTTGCTCCGAAAATGAATTTATCCTAATGGGATTTGGTATGTCCAGGAGTCATTTGAATATAACAGAGGTTTTATGTTGTCTTCTATGAATATTTGCCTATAAAAGAACACTAGTTAATGCAGAAAGCTGCAGCTGGCTGAACTGAACCATAGGAAAAAAAATACACAAAATGCATAGGCTCTTCAAACCTCCCCTAGCTCCTCACGGGAAGTTTGTGTAGCAAGCCACACCCATACCCGTGGGTTTCCATGCCAAGGAAGCCAGCTTAGCCTTGGTAAGTCACAAACTACATCTCTGAGCAAACCTCACCTCTCCTTCCTGATTAACTACCATATTTATTGGAATCTGTATTTCTTAACCATGTAATGTGTCTAAAAATTGCTCCATTTTTTTTTGGGGGGGGGTCTGGTCCTGGTGCCTGAACTCTGGGCCTGGGTGCTGTCCCTCAGCTCTTCAGCTCAAGGCTAGCGCTCTACCACTTGAGCCATAGCACCACTTCCAGCTTTTTTCTTCTTGCTTATGTGGTGCTGGGGAATCAAACCCAGGGCCTCAGGCATGCAAGACAAGCGCTCTGCCACTGAGCCACCTTCCCAGCCCCAAATTGCTGCCTTTTTTAAGGCTCCTGTCTTCTTTGTCAGGATTACTGATAGAGTTCATGAGTATTGTGTCCCTAAGCTCTCTTTCCCCATACACCTGTGGTTTCATTGT